CTTTTTCATCTCAACCTAGTGATTATTTAGAAAGTGAACTTAAAAGTATAAGGAAACACTAGTTTAGATTCTTTCATAACGACCCTAAATATAAATATTTTTAAAAATTGTATTTTTAACCAACGTTAACACATTAAGTATGTCATTAATTGGTACATACCAAGTTAGGTTCAATATAAAGTAGTTTTAGGCATCTTAAACATCTTTGATCAGTTATACTAGTTGTACTAGTATGTCAGTTTTAAAACAACGTTATACCAACGTTAAGACATTAGGTATGTCGTTTATTGGTACATACATAGTTAATGCATCTAAAACATCTTTTATCAGTTATACTAGTTGTACTAGTATGTCGGTTTTACTAGTTTGACCAGTTTTACCAAACAGATGCCAGTTATGCCTTAAAAATAACAGTTATACCTGTTTCACCCTGCTACGACACATCAAGCTAAATAAGAAGCAAACATACATTGTCACATAACATAGAGAGTAGAGGTACAAACAGAAGGTTCCATACATGAATCAAAAAATTAACGAAACATGAATCAAACATTACTAGAAACTCCGAATAACAACCATTGTAGTCCTTGTCTCCGCCGCCTTTTATTTTGTGTTCTTTTTCTCTTTGGTGGTCGCTTTTCTCCAGTAGACGCAAACCTTTTAGTTCTCTTCCTTCCACCCTTTGTTTTGCGTTTTGGCGGAATGATCTGAACATCTTTCACCCAAGCCGGGACGTTCCACTGAGACTTATCCGGTACTAGGAACATTGTCTGGTAATACGCCATCGCCCACAACTCGGTCCAATAGTACCTAGAACACAACTCATGCATTTGGATATGTTCTTTAGAAATGTTGCATCTATACTTATAACCTTTCTCATGACTTGAAACCCTTCGATGCTAACTCCCAAAGCTATGAACAAGTACATGAATTTCTTATTCTCATCCAAATGCAGATATGTTCTCGTACCTTGATTAACCTTCTCTAACATGTGCAAATAACAAGGGAGCATTTTGTAGCTTTCTTCCGCGGTACCACGCAAATCACTAACGGCTTTAACTTTCCCTCTCAATGCCGTCGAGTATGATACACTCAAACCCAATTTGGTCTTCACAAGTTCCATGATAATCTTGGGACGTGGAGTTTCCATCTGTCCTGGATAATCATTATGCAAAAGGGATGCAACTAATTCCGGGGTGCCGCGCCTGTTACTGTTGCTTGAACTTTTACTCGCCCGAGAGCAACTATGCATATTGTTGTGCCGGCGGATCGAGAAAATCTCAGTATGTGGAACTCTTGTAGCTCGTAAACCCCAACTACATCCTTCTTTAGAACATTTCAACACATAACGATCCTTATCCGACTTCGCAATTTTAAACCTAAAACTGTTAGCAAACGAAGCTCTATCCACCACTT